GAGTGACCTTTGGTGCGCGGAGGCAGGGGCGCACAGTGGCGAAACCCCAGCGCGCACGCGGCCGCCATCGCAGGGCGCTCGGCGATCGTGGGGGCCCCGATGGGCCCGCACCAGAGGTCACTCCAGCGAAGGATCACTCTTTCGTGTAGTCGATGGCCATCATCCCTCCCTTTAGAAGAAGAGCGAAAACGCCACAAACATAAACTGTTTGGCGCTCCGCGAAGATTTCTTGGATCTGCGCCGGATCCCCCCGCCGGAGGCGTTGCCAGAGGAGCCCAGCGCGGATCCAAGAAATCCGCGCATAGCGCCAGCTTTAATTATGGCGAGTTCTCTCCTTCGACCCCTGGCTCCTCGCCCGGCCTGCCTCGCCAGCATGCGGCGGCGCGGCGGACAAGGGCCTATACCCCCCCGCGCGCGCGCGCGCCCGCGCGGGCGGGACCCCTCGCGGGGACCTCGGGCAGCCGCGGCCAGGACGCCCTCGGCCTCGCCCTCGGCCTCGCCGTCGCCGTCGCCGCCGCCGTCTCCGCCGGCGTCACCGGCGGCGTCGTCGACGAAGCACGCCGGGCGGGCTCGCTCGCCCTGCGGGGCGCTTTCGCCGAGAGGCTCCGTGCGCCATGGGGTCGAAGGATCGCGCCGCATCGCCAATGCGTCGCCGATGCATCAGCGATGCATCGGCGATGCATCGGCGACGTCGGCGATGCATCGGCGACGTCGGCGTGGGGAAGCACGGGCTCCACAGCGAGCCGCATCGTCGATGCATCGGCGATGCGGCGCGATCCTCCGACCCCATCTGCTCCGACCCCATCTGGGAGGCCCAGATCAGCAGGGCAGCCAGACGCGGGGACAACCGTGGTGCAGTGGAAGCACCCCGAGGGAGGGGGCCCGTGCCACCGCAGCCCCAAGGGGTGCCGGGGAGCCGCACCTGCCCTCCCCACCCGTGAGCTTCCCCCACGGTACCTTCTGGCCGCGTCTCCTCCCGCAGCATGTGGCTCCTCCCCATGGTTTCCCCCCCCATCCTTCTCCCTCCTCCTCTACCCCCCTCCCGTTCATTATCCTCCTTCCCCCCCTCCTTATCCCCCCCCACCTCCTCGTCCTCGTCCTCGTTCACCAGGCCGCGTCTCCTCCGCTCTGGTCCGTCTCTGGTCTGTCTCCTCCGGAGGAGACAGACCAGAGGCACGTACTGGGGGAGCCCTTGCAGATCGAAGCCTGAGGCATATACAGTGGCAGCAAGGAGACGGGAAGGAGTCCTCTCGAGGATCCTCAGAACGTGCCAGTGCCAGCGAGGTGCTCGTCCATCGACGCCCTTTCATGTACGGCGTAGGCGGTGTAACGATCGACCAGCGGAGACGAACGGGGTAAACGCGCATTGGGTTAACACACGTCCTCAGGAGCATCGATCCTCGCAGGTCGACCAAGATTGAGGCATACCCCAGATGGGACGGCGTCGTGGTCGAGGATCTCGGGGCTTGCCTGCAGGTCCTCCTGCTCGCCGTCGTCGGCGGGGCAGGTCGCCGTCAGCGTCGGCGTCGGTTCGAGGAGGCGAGGGAAAGCTTGGAAGCAGCTCGGAGGTCTGGAATCACGATATAGAGGCCTCTTGCGCACATTCAGGAAAGGTCACACCAAACTATGCGAAGAAAGGCACCACATCCGGCCGGACTACACCTGGTTGAATCGGAGCTGGCCAGACTGGCACGAAGGAACCAGCAGATTCACTTGACCTCCCAGGACTTGCGCCCTGAGAGAGTGAGGAATGAAATGGCAAGCACTACCGAGATTGCTGATACACGCCCACTCCGACGCTGGGCCAGAACAGATTCAAGAGTCTACCAGAAAGGAATACAGATGCACTGAAAAACATGTCAAATGAAATTCAAGTTAAAAACAAGGCTGGAAAACTGGCAAGGCACAAACAAAACCGCTGGGACACGGTCGCCAGGGCGGGAAAAACTACAGGGACATTTGCTAGGGCTGGAAAGAATGGAAGGGCAGGCTACAGCCACTTTTGCTGGCCTCCCCATGCAGAACACCTCTGGGAACCTTCTCCTCGTCATCCTCACCCTCTTCTGGTCCGAAAAGAGCAAGGTTGCAGACCACAACAGCCTCGATGCCATCGTGAAGCGTGTCTTTCCTGCGGGCCCGGAGGGACACGGGGGCCAACTATGCACCCACACTGCTCCTGACGTCGCCCAAGACCGGCGCATTCAGGTGTACGGTAAGTTCGTGCGGCGTCGGCACGCGCCAAAATGGTTGACACCGAGCCGATCGTTCAATCTTGAACCGATCGCGGCCCAATCCTTCAAGGTTGAATTTCGTCGGGTCCCGTGGCGTTACCGTGTCCCTCGGTGCTTCCGCGTCGTTCTGTCGTGCGGAATTCAACCTTGAACGCCGTCGCCGGTGTCGCCGGCGTACCATCGCCGCATGACTTACCGTACAGATGGCGAATACCGAGGGTCAGAGCTCCAGGGGTGCCCGAGGCAGCGCCATCCCCTGCGGCACGGCACGTGCGTCAGGCACCCGTGCCGCGTGCCCGTGCAGACTTCCAACGCCGTGGCAGAACTCAGGGCCGGATCGTCGCGTCGCTTTCACCATACACGTCGGGGGCCTCGGGACGGGGGTCCATGCAAACGGTGGTCAGAGGGGCGCCAGATCTTGCAGGGTCCTGCGGGGCCCAGGGGTGCACTGACCGGGGCTTGGGAGGCAGGATCCCGCAAGATCCGGCAGGATCTTGCAGGATCCTGCAAAGCCCGACTGGCCTGGGCTCGCCATCGCTCGGACGTCCATTTCCCGTGCACTTTTCGGTGTCGTGCGTGTTTTTTTTTGTTGCTCGATGGTCCAGGGTGGTCCTCGATGGTCCTCGCCGGGGAAAAAGTGCACGCGCCCGAGCGATGCCGAGCGGGTCTGGGTTGACCCGGGTCAGCAGGTCCCCGCGCAGGGGCCCCCTGGCGCGCCCCAGGGCCTGGCACGAAGCGAGAGCGGGGTCCCGAGGAGAGCGGCTCCTGGAACGCAGGGCTCTGCCTCGGATCGGCGCTCGTGAGGGTCGGGGGGCCCCAGAGCCTCGAAAACGGTCTGGAACGCAGGTCTTTGCCTCGGATCGGCGCTCGTGAGGGTCGGGGGGCCCCAGAGCCCCGAAAACGGGGAAGAACCTCCAGGAAACGCTCGCCCAGGAACCCTTGGTCCGTGCTGGGGGGCACGTCCTGAGCTCTCACCCGCCGTGGATGCAGGGCCGGATCGCGGGCGCACTCAGTGGCAATCGAGCGCCACGGACAGGGAGGCTCACGCACACCACAAGCGCAGGGGATAGCACGGGGCCGCCAGGGCAACCGCAGCAAGCAGCAAGTGTCAATCCCGTGTGTGCGTGTGCGTGTGCGTGAATGTGTGTGTGGGTGTGTGTATGTGAATGTGTGTGTGAGAGAGAGAGAGAATGTGCGTGTGTGTGTGTGTGTGTGTGTGTGTGTGTGTGTGTATGTTTGAATGTCTGTGTGTGAACGCGTGCGCGCGCGTGTGTGTGTGTGTGTGTGTGTGTGTGTGCGTGTGTGTGTGTGTGTGTGTGCGTGTGTGTGTGTGTGCGTGCGTGCGTGCGTGCGTGCGTGCGTGCGTGCGTGAGTGCGTGCGTGCGTGTCCGTGTGTGTGTGTGTGTGTGTGTGTCAATGTGTGTGTGCCTGTATGTGTGAATGTGTGTGAGAGTGTGTGAATGTGACTATGTGTGCGAATGCGTGTATGAATGCGTGTGTGTGTGAATGTGCGTGTGTGTGTGAGCGTGTGCGCATGCCCGCCCCAAACCAGCCAGAAGGAACATCGCGCGGCGCACGACGAGGCGCGGCTCGTGGCGAGCACGATGGGCCCCAGGCTATTTCCAAGGATCCGCAAGGAATGGAGGGAACTCCTGAAGAGGCCCAAGGACACACAAATAAATATACACAAATAAACATATTCCCCATATGTTCCCATATGTGTACGGTTTTCGTCTTCCGTCCCCATCCCATCGTTTCCCCTATTTTCAGGGGAATCGACGATTAATTGTGTGCTTTTCCCCTCCTGAACTCCAAATGCCTCCTCGTCAGGTCCCCCAGGGCGATCTCTGGATGCCACCCAGCAGCACAGCGAAGGACCAAAGGCGCGCCAGAAACTCGGACCTCCTGACCCGAAAAGGTGTGTTGCTGTTCTCTCTCTCTCTCTCTCTCGCTCTCCCTCTCTCCATGTTGGTATGTGTTTATATATGGATATATGTATATGGGTGTGTCGATATACTCATATATGTACGAAGATATATATATATATATATATATATATATATATATATGTGTATGTGGGGCAGGCGGGGGGTGAGCGATAGCTCATCGAATTGAAGAGAAATGTCTTTCCCTCTTCAATCGGCCAAAGCTGTTGACAGAGCTTAAACTCCCATGGGCACTATATTTATATTTACAGAGGCCTCTGCACGGAGCTCGAAAGGTCTACTCTCTTTTGCACGGACCGGCCCCCCACGCCAGAGCACAGACCGCGCCCCGAGGCCAGAGCTGGATTCGCAGACCACCATCCGCAGACTGGGGTCGGCCACCATCACGGGAGACTGGGGCCAGAACGCTCCACGGCCTCGGGGGCCAGGGGAGGCTCGACGGCCTTGGGGGGGCCCAGCAAAGAGAACCCCCTGAGAGCCCAGCAGGACCGTGCCCAAGAAGCTCGAGCTCTCGCGAGACTCAATGCATTCGCCACTTAGGGCGGTATGTGGGTTGGCCAGAACAGCTGCCATGCAAGCGAATGCGGCCGATGTGACACGCAACCCCCCTGATGCCCACACATCTACCGTAAACGTATACATGTGTGGGGCAGGCGGGGGGTGAGCGATAGCTCATCGAATTAAGGAGAAATGTCTTTCCCTCTTCAATCGGCCAAAGCTGTTGACAGAGCTTAAACTCCCATGGGCACTATATTTATATTTACAGAGGCCTCTGCACGGAGCTCGACAGGTCTACCCTCTTTTGCACGGACCGACCCCCCACGCCAGAGCACAGACCGCACCCCGAGGCCGGAGCTGGATTCGCAGACCACCATCCGCAGACTGGGGTCGGCCACCATCACGGGAGACTGGGGCCAGGCCTCGGGGGCCAGGGGAGGCTCGACGGCCTTGGGGGGGCCCAGCAAAGAGAACCCCCTGAGAGCCCAGCAGGACCGTGCCCAAGAAGCTCGCCAACTCTCGAAAAAGACACCAAGCTCTCCATTCGGTGTTTTTCCTCTGGCCGTAGGCCGGAGATGTGTCAAGCCTGGCGACGGCAGCACGGGCAGCAGCTTGCACCAGACATAAAAAATCATTGCAGCAGGTCACGGGCTGCAAAACGCTCGGACTCGAGCGAAAAAGGGTATTAGAGAACTGCTGGAGCGTCGAACGGGCACGATCCTGGAGCTTCATTTCTGCGATGATGGCAGCCCCGTCTTGGATGTATATCTTTGCCGTTCTTGCCGAGCTCCAGCGCCAACGCAGCATGACCTTAGACAAGTCGCCCGACAGCAGGAACTCATGCGTGGCACCTCCGCGCCACAGGCTGTAAGGAGACAGGGCGAGGTGCCTGCAACCGATCTGCTGGAGCCCAGTACGGAACAAGTCGTGAAAGGCGCGCGTCGTGCCAGGCCAGAGCCGGCTGTCGCGCTGGAGCTGCGCATGGACGACTGCCCCAACCAGCGGGTCGTCAAGCGTGACTTGCTCCCGCGCGCCCTTCTGGCAAGAGGTCTTGGCCCAGGGCAGCGACACCGCGCCTCGGCCACAGGGCTTCAGAAAGATGACGCCGCCGCTCAGCCCCAAAGCCTCGCCAGTGCGGAGACAGAGATGGAAGGCCGCGAGCAGCACGGCCGCGAAGGCCACCTCTCCGCGGCTGAGCGCCCAACCGGCGAGCGCCGTGCACACCTGGGCAGGCATCGGCGGCGCGCGCTGAGGGATCTCCAGTCTGCCCCAGACTGTCAGCAGCTGCCAAGCGCCAGGATAGCGGCGTCGTGTCCTCAGCAGGTGCTGCACGCCGCTGAGGGCGTCATTGGCTTCTCCTTCTGTGGCGCCCTCGGCCCACAAGTGCTCAAGATAATCTTGCAGGCAGATATCAATATCGTCCCAGTTGAAAGGCAGCGGCAGGTTATTGGCAGCAAGGTAGTCAACAAAACGCTGAGCGGCGCCACGGTAGCGGGCCAGTGTCGAGGCCTTTATCCTGACGTCTCTCAGCTTCCCCAGTCCAGCTCTGGCGGCGCGGCGGTCAGCAGGGCTACTCCGCTTCTTGCCCATCGCGGAGGCGCGAGGGGGCGCCCGCGGGGTTGCGAGCCGACGACGTGAAGCCGAAGACCGCCCGCGCGCCCATCGCAAGCTCCCACGCCGAGAAGGTCCGCACCACCTTGTTGAGCTGAGGACTGCTGGAACGGCGCTTGGACAGCGCACCGATGTTGACCATGCTGTCGAGCAGGTGCAGGAAGACGCACTAATGGCGGCGCACCGACCGCGCCCGCCATCGAATCATCATCAGCGCGCCCTGGCACTCAAGAACGTTGATGTGCTCTGCTGCATCCCACACTAGCTGCCTTGCCTTGCGCCACCGCCAAATGCCTGAGTCGATCTCCTGCCGCGGGAAGATCTTGCCGAGCGCCTCCGAGGCGCCATCGGTCATGATGGCTGCTCCGTTGTTGTGGCACGCCATGACGAGCCCCATGGCGATGCGTCTGGACGCGTCCACCTCGCGCCACTCCACCACGTCACGCTTCGCCAACTCCGCCAAGAGGATGTCGGCGTGGCACGCCTGGTCGGGCCCACAGTGACAGACCAGTAGGGCCCCGCGCAGCGTCTCCAAGCTCTGCAGGAAGGTGGGCTGCGTGCGGATCCAACCAGCGAGCAGGGCAACAGCGTCCTCGCGTGACCGCTCGGGGCTGATCGCGAAAGGGTTGCCCCACCGCGAGGCAGCCAGCCCCCAGCGGCGAGACCCACGACCCACGTAGATGGGCCCGCCAGCCTGGTCCAGCTTGGCGTGCAGGCCCTCGTCGATCTCGGAGCGACCGCACCGCAGCGACGTCACGTCGCCGGCCCACAGCTTCCTGCCACCAGCCCAGGCTCGCGCACTCTCATGCAGCTCACCCAGCGAGGGCACCGAGACCAGCAGCCCAGCTCCGACGGCCCAGTGGCTGGTGATCCAGGCCACGACCTCGCACTGGAAGGAGTTGCCCACGAGCGACCACCGAAGAGCCTCGTACTTGGCGGCCTCGGCCTTCGCCTGGCTGCTCGTCATGCACGGCGCGGTGTGGCCCTCCGGGAAGCCCATCAGCTTCTCTCGCATGGTCGCGTCAGGCGGCTCCACGCGGCCATCCGCCTGGTGGATGCACCACTTGTCACGGAACTGGTAGGGCGGCGAAGCGAAGCCCGCCGCCTCCCAGCGCGCCAGCTCAGCAGCGCTGTACTCCCCGATGCCCGCAGGCCTGGGGCGCGGCTGCGAGCGCGGCGTCCAGCGCACGAAGGTCGGGAGCGGCTCCCCTGCA